TGAATTAGGGTGAAAATTCCTTTCAAAATTTAAGAAAATGTCTCATTCTTTATGTTGGATTCCTATTTACTTTTTCTTCACTTGATTGATTTCTTCTTGAGAGGGCAGAGAGATTTTGGTTGGGGAAGTTCACAAGTTGGAGACAAGGAAAAAGTTTTGTATGGGGTGAAGTGGGGTGATATGTGGGAAACCAAGTCACCCACCATTCATGATTCATCCACTTCCAAATAACACTGTTTTTTAAGAATGTCAAACCTTTTGAGAATGTTCTGATACTTTGGACTTTTCAATAGTGGTATATATATTATCTGACATCATTTATTGTCATAGAATAGATCCTTTCTCATACTCCCATTTAGGAATTAGGAACAGTGCATACCATAATTAGCTATCACTATGGTGAAACAGAAACAAGGCAAATGCATGAGTTAGCTAGGTTCTTTATTGTTTTGGCTTTTAGGTCAAGTTGGCAAAGGTGGGTTTCTCTCTCTCTCTCTCTCTCTCTCGGGGTAAAAAAGGGATTTAAAAAGAAAGAGTATATGGGAGCCTTTGAGTCTTTTTACAATACTCCCAATATTTTCTTTTTCCTTTTTCATTTTATCTTTCGATTAAATCACCTATTTAGCTCTATTAATTGTTAACTTGTGAAGTTATACTTATTCATCATTTATAGTCCTCAAACGTCATTTGAAGGGGCTATATAGAATAGCCACTTTGGAAAAACTTAGAAATTAAAAGTTCTCTTCAATTTATTGTTTTTATTAATAACTTATTTTTATGGGAATAAGATTAGATCAGAAATAACATTAAATATAAATACAATCAAATCAAAACTTAATCAAATAAGATCAAAATCAATCGAATAAGTTGAAGAGAACACGCCCTAAATTGAGCGTTTTTCCATTTTACTTCTTCACTTGATTGATTCGTTCTTGAGAGGGAAGAAATATTTTGAGTTGGGTAAGTTCACCAGTTGGAGACAAAGAAAAGGTTTTGGTATGGGCTGTAGTGGGGTGATATGTGGGAAACCAAGTCACCCACCATTGATCCACTTCCAAATAACACTGTTTTTTTCCAGGAATGTTCTGATTTATGGGACTTTTCAATAGTGTAAGATCACATCCCACAAAATATGGAACATATATACTTGAAAAATGCTAGGGTACACGGAAAGGTGTACCCCAATTGTCTCCCAATCCCTCCTTGTCCACAATAATTAGCAACAGATTCAAAAAAAATTAAAAAAATAAAAATCAAATAGAGATGTGTGGTGGAGAAGCATGTAGTGTACAATTGGGGTATACCAAAGCTGTACCCTAGTTAGCTACGTTGAAATAGAAATATGGGAATCTTTTATTGTTTTAGCTTTTAGGCCAACAAGTTCACAACTCAAAAAGTGGGTCTCTCTCTTGGTAAAAAGGGGATTGAAAAAGAACCCTCTATCTCAAATTCTTTTCCCATTTTCAACTTTCTCAAAAAATTCTTCATCTTTTCATTAAATTCACTTATTTATTTTTTATCAATTATTAACTTACGTGTCAAGTTATACTTATTCATCATTAATACTCCAAAGAAAAAATTTCTTAAATAGTTACTTAAGTGAAAATCAGATTTGATGTGATATATTACGTATAATTAAAAAGTGAAAAAAAGTGTAAAGTTTCCAATTGGAAAACTTAAAATAGCATATAACTTTCAAATGAGACGGAGGGCTGGCATCTATTGAATTAACGAGAATAATTGTATGTATTGAATACCGGGAGATACATCACAATACATATAAAGAGAGGATTCCTAACATATTAAGGAAGCTCACATATGGAAGTTTACTAAAATACAAAGTCTACCATAACTAGTATTTAATATATTAATTATGTACACTACAAGAAAACGCCAAAACAACGACGGATTGCAGCGACGGAATTTAGTTCGACGCTAACAACGACGGATTTAGCGACGGAAGGGTACTCCAACCAAAACTAACGACGGAAAAAAAGGTCCGTCGCTCAGTATTGGCGGGAGGTTGTGCGCGGCATTTTTGACGACGGAATTACCGACGGAATTTTCCGTCGTTAATGTTAGCGATGGAAAATTTCTGTCGCTGACCGAATTTTATTGAAACGCTGCGTTTTGGCTTGGCGACGGAATATATCCGTCGCTACTTTCCGTCGCTTCAAAAACAGATCTATACCCTCTTCCTTAGTCAGTTTCACCGATTTGCAGACAGAAATCGTCGTCTCCGCGTGGAGTCTGAGGTCTGCTGTCCAAATCGTCGTCGAACCTCCGCCGCCGCGCCATCCGCTCGTCGTCTCCGCCCGCCACCATCAATCACCGGTCCTCCTTGCTGTCCGGTCATCGTCAGGTCTTCACTCCATCTTCAAATCTCAGGTTTTTTTCCTTTTTTATTTTATATTTAAAGTTGTAAACAAATTAGACTATAGATTATCTTTTTACATTCGAATTAACAATTATTATTGTTTGATGATATAATTAAAAAGTATATTATTATGTGTAAACTTTTGACATTTTCTTTTAAATTTGAAATTATTGAAATTAGGGTTTTTTCCCCAAAAAATTTATCATTTTTTTAAAAAAAACTTAATTATATGCTTGAAACTTTTAGTGAATGAATATTATGCTTATTAATAACATATTTTAGATATTGTAGATGCTAGATGAGGATTATGTACGTATTATGTATTTTTTTGAATATTGTAGTTCTTGTGCTTTTATATTTATTTTTTTAGTTTTTTGTAATGAATTCTATAACTTAATAGTATGTCAATTTTATTTTTTTGAATTTCTCAGAATGAGTGACTTTCACGAAAATCGAGATTGGATGTATAAAAGACTTGATAGCTCAGGTTTTATAAATACAGATTGGGTTGACAAAGTT